TTAAGATCATTAATTTGCATTTTATAATGCAATAAATTCTTAGCTGAGTTTTATTCCTTTACTGGATTTATTGGAGCAACAGCCGGATTGGCAGCAGAGGAAATCAATGGTTAGAAAGACCAATAACAGGTTTTGCAAACTAATTACACGGTGCGAATTGCTACATAACAAAATATATGAAAGAGCAAATGCATTTTCAGAGCTTGGCTAGGTAGCAGCTGAAGTCTAGCTGCAGAGCAGTATAGAAAATAACAACCATAAATCAATGTGGCCTCCTGCCCACTCTGCTGTCCAACAGTGCTGCCAAGACCAGCTCCTCTGAAGCCCAGTTTCCTCCAGAACAGCTATTCGTGCAGACAGAAAGAGTTAGAATTGCTGAGGGCAGCCATTGGAAACATCAGTTTATCTCCTCAAACAGAGAAGAAAACGACTTTTTACTTCTGTATATTATAAAATAAGAATATTTTTATTTTTTTTAGTTTGTTTATTTTTTTACTGAACCTGGCTAGGATGCTGGTTTAACATAACGATCTAGAAATGAGTAAAAATTTCTTAGATTAATTGTTTTTACCCATAATTTGAGTAGGTAAATTAGAGAGCTGCCAATGGAATGAGTATTTTCACTCTTAAATTGAAATAATTAGATAATATGCACTTGAAAAAAAACAATGCAATTGTGTTTTCTTATTTTAAATGTAAATTGTCTTATTCTATTGGCAAAATGTCTCTTTTACGTTCTCAATTCAAGAACAAATGCAGTTATTTTATGAAAAAAAATTACTTATCTAGATGTTGACTTTTTTCCAGTGCACAATCCATGGTGATTAGTCAATACACTGGAAAAACGATCTAGAAATAAGTAAAAATTTCTCAAATTATATGTATTTACCCTTTTTTGAATAGGTAAATTAGATGATTTGCCAGTTGAATGAGTATTTTTACTCTTAAAATAAGATATTTAGATAAAATGCACTTGAAATAAGACAATGCAATTGCTTTTTCTTATTTTAAGTGTAAATTGTCTTGTACCATTGGCAAAATGTCTCTTTTACCTTCTCAATTCAAGAACAAATGTACTTACTTAAATTATAATTACTAAAATTACTCACCTAGGTTTTGATTTTTTCCAGTGTAAGGATCACCATATGCATTATCTAACAAAGAGAAATTTGAAGTTTGGTGTTGAATCCAATTCAAGTGAATTGAATTCAAAGCAGTCACTATGGGGTTTAAGGAGACAGAAGCAGACATAGAAAAAGAAGCATAGATACAAAAAGCAGCTGTAAAAGGCGGCCCCGTCCAGGAAACACACAGCCAGGCAGACGAGCTCCGAGCCAGCTCCCATGTCAGAGGATGAAGAGAGCACATCCAGTTAGTCACAGTCAGAGAAACAGGACTACACTGAAAAACAGGCCGACCTCCAACATCGATGTTGGCCAACACCATCTGCTCCACAGCTGATTTATTTAACGTTTTAGTTGGTGGAGACGCTGACATGCAGAGTTTACAACAGTCTTGATTTAGCAGCGGATGACCTTTTAGGTGGTGGAATAAATTTGTACCGCCGCCTTTTGCAGCAATGGTTTTTGCGGCACGTCTTACAAATTACCGCATTTTGTCCGATGTCCTAGCTGAAACACCTGCTGTCGCCATAGTTCTTATGCTGGTTCCTGTAGCAAGCATGCCGCACAGAAAATAATCCTGTTTGGAGGAGGGGTTAACGATGCATTCAAAGTGTGTGGGAAAAATAAAACTCTTAGTGAAATAGATGCAGACCGTTTAATGTCATAATGTGAATTTGTTCTTGATGGTTGCGATAGAGTCCTTTGAACAATTGTGCGTGGGGAAACTCGAGATACATTGAGTATATTCAATATACATCGCCCACCTCTAGTTCAGTAGTAGCCATTCAAAATTGCCCCACTTTCCTTGGATGGTCCTTGTCTAGTCCCCTACAATTCCTTTTTAAACATCTAAACTATTCTGTCATAATTTCTGGACAATAAGATCTAAAGAGAAGCGCCATCTCCTGGTCAGACAGTGTAATTCAGTGAAAGGGTGGAGTCAGAGTAAAAGAATATGCAAGCCCAGGAGAAGGACAGGGGCTGGAAGTTGGAGGGGATTTTGCTTCCATTGGGTTGGCTTTTGACTGGGAAGGGCCATTTTGAATGGCTACTAGTGTAAAAACACCCTCAAAGGCAAATTAAGGCAGATGATTGGTTAAAGATGGGCTCTCTGTGTCTGCACTTTGGAGCTTTTTCTACGATTCTTTTTCCTGAAAAGAGATCACTCGGGACAAACTCTTTAAATAACACTTCATAACTTATATCTATTAAATAACCAGGAGGCATGAAAACAGATTTTGATAGAAATTGTAATCTTACTCAGATCAGAGAAGTTGTTTAGGGTTGCAGAAGGCAGCTGCTCACCAGGAAGGAAGGAAGTGGCCACAATTAACAGTTAAAGAAGAATTTTATGCAACTCCAGTTTGCCACATAATCACATTTTACATCACACACGTTTGCAGATGAGGAGACATCCATGGCTCCAACTCTTTCACAATATTACACTTTGTTTATAGCCAAAGTACAACGCTCTCATTCCATTCCCAAATATTTGCCACGTACAGAATCAAGATTATAACTGCATAGCTGGACAGAGGAACTGTTTTAAGTAGATAAACTACTGGGGAAAACATCAGTTCTGACACGTAACAGGCAGCTAATATTAAGGTGTAATAAACTCACACATAATCAATGATAATTATCCTAAGAGATTGTTAAGATGCAGAAAATTCATGTTTTTTATAGCTGTTTTATACGGAGCCCCTCTGATGACATGGTCAAAAAGAATTTTTAATTGTGGCCACGAAGTAGTATTTCGTTAGCCTGATGTAGTCCTACTCAATTCTAGTCAGAATGAGTCTGATGCTGCTCCATAGAGCTGTGATTATGGGGCGTCTCTCGAACGAACCAGGAAAAAAAATGCCTCTGCACTCAATTGGATAGACCTACAACCAATAAGAGCAACGGAGTGCGTGACGTATGTTAAGCGACGCATAGTTGTTGTCCACAAAAATCAAAGCGTGCAGTTGCACGCCTAGAATAAGAAGATGAGACTTGATCGCGTTTCTCTGTTCCTCTTTTAAAATTAATTTGCTGTCGATATCTTCTAGAACAGACCTAATAGCAGAATCTACTCACCTCAACTCTCCAGCGGCAGCCATTGTTGTTGTCACCCTAGCGCGCTTTGGTCACGTGGTTGATTACGTTACTGTTTGTCATCTGTCCATCATCGTATAAAGCCCGCCCTGACAATTTGATTGGATCGCCTGACAGTGGGCGATAATACTCGCGCTACTATGGAGCAGAGCCAGACCGAACTTCCCCGACCTCAAACTTTGTCGGCGGGACTAAGTTCGGAATGGCACCCAGGCTAGTATTTCGTGGCCACAAGTATAACGTGCGCACGAAATACTACTTCGTGGCCCCGCAATAAGTTTATCGTGCGCACGAAATACTTATTAATAATATTAATATCATTCCTGGACAACTGGGTAAGCAAATCGAGCGCGCCTTCTCTAAGGTCTAAGGTGCGCTCGATTTGCTTACCCAGTCGGTCTCCGCCAGTCACGTGACATTTGTTGCTAAGACGCCATTTTAGGTGGAAAAGGCGTAGTGTAAACAACCGCAGCATAGCTAAACGAAGGACTAAAGGCCCGTTTACATAGCAGCCTGTCCAAGATAAGTCATTACAGTTAACATAAGCCTGAAAACAGGGGCGGATTTATTGATATTATTAATAAGTATTTCGTGCACGTTAAACTTATTGCGTGGCCGCGAAATACTACTTCGTGGCCACAATTGAACATTTTTTTTTGACCATGTCATCAGAGGGGCTCCGTAGTTTTACCTTAAAACCAGCAGTATTAAGTAAAAGACTAATCCAGGATCCCAAACCTTAAAAACATGCTTAGATATAATTCTTCATGCATTAAATCTTTCTGTTAACTCAATTTAAAACAAAAGACGAACAAACATGAGAACTATACAGGTTCTATTATGGAGGACCAACTCTACCATATTTAAAAATATATACTTAAATAAATAAATGCTCAATAAATATATAAGCATACAATTAATTGCCAACAAAAATACAATAAACAAATAAATGTGGATGGGCTGCGGTTCGACCTGGCTGCCGTCAGCTTCGGACCTCCGCTGGTTGCCGCGATCCTCTCAAGTTCAGAACATTTTCTTTTAAATTACGCTTTAAATCTGTGAATGGGCCATATGGCGATGCTTTAAAGTATAATGTTCTCGCCTCAAATAATCTTCAAATGTTCCTTTATTGAACAACAGCAACAGAAAAGAGAACATTTAACTTGATCTTCTGAGCCCTGATAGTTAAGAAGATGAGCCGCCAACCAATGAGCAGAAGTTGACTCTCTAGGACACGCCCCCTCCTCATTTGCATAATGAGGCAGAAAGCAGACAGAATGTAAAAAGGGAAGGCAGAAATGTAAAAAAATATATAAAGGACAAAAAAATAAATAAGGTAAATATTACAAAGGCAAATAAATAAAGAAGCTAATTAAAAGAGTTATATACATTTATGTCTCACTGTATAATTTAATTTCTACTTACATTTATTTGTTTATTGTATTTTTGTTGGCAATTAATTGTACGCTTATATATTTATTGAGCATTTATTTATTTCTGTATTTATTTTTAAATATGGCAGAGTTGGTCCTCCATATTCTATTGGCAGTTACTGAATGTTACTGAATGTTTCCCTTAGAGGCAACAGTGGGATGTGTAAACTAATTTTATCAGTGTTTGGAGGTTGGTGGAAAAATAACCATTAAAAAAAGGTAATTTGTTTATATGTTGCGCTAACATGTCAATTATCAACAATTTAAATAAAAAGAGACATTTCCTGTATAGTAACCACACAAAAAAAAAAAGGTTACCAAGGCAATGTTAATCAAAGTGGCTCACCTTGGCTCTGTTAATGGTGCAGTGCAGTGCATTGTTCTCCTGGTCGTACTGCAAGCTAAACTCCAAGGTTCCCAGCGTGGCTGTGAAGACAGGAAAAGACGAGAAGGAATTACACTAAATTAGATGCAAAGAGGAAAGCCTTCTTGGCACACAGACATGGACTCTCGGGAGAGCATTAACCACTCTCCGCTGCCTGGTTTGGATCATTTGAGGGGAAAGCCCTGATGGGAGCTCTCATTATGCTTTTAATCACTGAAATGTATTCACACTGGATTGAAAAAGTCTTCATACCCTTCACTCTTCTGCATATCTTTCACTGTTGCAAACTTCTGTTTATTAAATATGTGACACAAATGATTCTACCTGTTTAATTTAATTTAAGCTGAGTATAAATGCAGCTGTTCTGTTTGTTAGAGATCATTAAACAGCAAACAGCATCAGCAGACAGCTAAAGGTGGACGTAGAGCAGTTAAAATAATGGCTGCCGGGCAAAAACCCTCTGTTGATTTCACACTCTGTTATAAATATATATGGGCTGTAAACAACTTTTTGTTTGTATGAATTTGTGGTGCTTGCAGATACCAACACCTCCCACATGTATTACCTCCTTAAAAAACTAAACCATGTTATGTTGGATGAATCAGCCCTTAAACGTTGTTTCACATTAAGTAGACAAAGGAGTTTAATAAGGTAGCAAAACTTGTTCAAGATGATGTTCAAGTATTAAATTAATCCATTTTGAGCCGTCGTTGGAATCACATTCCTCCAGAGTTTAAACTGAGTTACAGAGATGTAGGTATCAATAGCTGCTGAGCGTCCAAAAGTTTAAATTTAAGCCTTCATTTGTGATTAAAGTGCTCCTGAGTCTACTAAAACCCAGGGAATCAATGTTGTTCCTGGAAACGCAGAGCTCACCACCTACACAAGAAGAACCACAAACACACGTCCATTTACTCGTTTTGTTCTCTGAAAGACAAAAGGTATTTAATAAAGTCTTCTGCTCACACTGTGTGCAAATAATGCTTTATAAGTGCCAAATCCAACCATGACCAAGATGAAATCTTCCTGCAATGAAGTATCTGATTTTACGCTGTGCTATTCAGATGGTAGGGATGTGGAGGGGTGGAAAAAGGAATCCCTTTCTGACAAAATAATTCAGGTGACAATTGTCTTATTAAATGGGGCCACTCATTGAATTTAGACTTATTTATACCTAAAACTAATACGCTTGCAGTGATTTAATTAATTTAGCGTGAATGGTGTAAAGTGAGGGAGGGAGGTGTTAATATATCTGGTAGTGATGTCATGAGATGAGCCGAGGCTTCGAGGCGTGTGTCGAGTAATGGAGGGAGGCGTTTCCCCGAAGCGCGTGTCGAGGCATGATTCATTTAGGGGAGGGGCCAAAATTGATGACGTCCGAGGCCTCGCTACCGTGAAACCATGTGACCGCTTCGGGACGTGGTTAAGAAAGCGCAAGAATTTTGACAGCTTCAGTGTTCAGTCAAGATATGGAAGTTTGGAGAAGAGCTGCTGTCAGCTGGATAGAGTTTGGATAGATTCTAAGAATAGATTGGTTGTTTTACCAACCAATCTATTTGGTTAAAACTAATTTGGTTAGAATAAACAATGTTATGATCAAAATCTAAGGAAACCACCGGAAAAAATCAGTGTTAACACGTCACTATTAATTAGTATTTTCCTCCCTAATACGGTTATTTATATATGTGGCGTCATCTGTAAGAGACAGGCTCTCACTCTAGAGGTTGATGGTTCAAGACCTGACTTTGACTTTTGAAAGTTGCGATTAAATTTAATTATTTTGGCTGATGAGACTAATTTGCATTGTTTTGCCCGAGTAAAAATATAGATCGGGTAAATTAGGTCGGTTTAGCCAAAAGATTGGTTGAACAGAACTTCCAACCTGATTAAAACCAAAAAACTTTGAAAAACTATCATGTTTGATTAAAAATGACTAACACCTTTCATTTTCAAATGGCATAAAAACTGTGCACTTTGAATGATGGTTCTAAGAAAAAAAACAAAAACAAAAAAATACAAAAGATTTTATCATACACACCAACCATTAAAAATTTCAAAGGAACCTAAAAGGGGAAAAAAAAAACAGTTGTGAAAAAAAATAATAATAACAGATTTTATTACAAACTGTACTTCTGCTGTCCACCAGTAGGTGGTGACATGTTCACATGAAGCCTCATGAACTGTGGGGATCGTTGAAGCAATTTGGCCAAACGGTTCAATGCCTCATGAGGATTCATCTCACCATCACTAATATCTGGGCAAAAATGGCCGCTCCCAGACTCAATGATCCCAACGAAAATTATCCTTTTTTTTCTTTACTGATTAACGCTAAATTCATAAAATCACCGCCAACGTATTAGTTTTAGGTATAGATAATGATCCAATGATTATTCATTGCCGACTGGACTTATCCTTTAAGAAAGGCCATAATGGGTTTAGAAGCTGTAACTTTTTTCATCGTTAGTAGTGGAAAATATGGAGGACCAACTCTGCCATATTTAAAAAGAAATACATTAAATAAAAAAATGCTCAATAAATAAATAAGCATACAATTAATTGCCACCAAAAATACAATAAACAAATAAATCTAAGTAGAAATTAAATTATACAGTAAGACGTAAATGTATATAACTCTTTTAATTTTAAAACCTAGAACAGATAATGGATGTCTATTCTATTAACATTTCTCTATCTGTAGAATGGATCTGTTTTATGTGTTGTCTTCTCAATGCAGAGGGCCCCCTACCTGTCTTTGCCTAGGGCCCCAAATTTTCTAAACCCACCCCTGTTAGGTGTGATTGTGTATGATCATGGTTGTACTTCCCGGTGCTCGGTTTGTACTTTTTCCCCATAGACTTATGAAGAGTTTAAAAAAAAAAAAAAAAACACACACATAATAATAATAACCATCGTGACAATAATAATGATAATATAATAATAATAATAATAATAGCTTAAACAAATATGCCACATTAGTTTAAATAATGGGCTATTAGGGCAACATGACTGGAAGTCTTTTCACGTGGATTTGACTTATGGTAGCCTACAAAATAATAGCTATTTTAATACCTGCTGATTTTGTACAAACCACTTAAAAATACAATGTGAACAGCTTTTAAGGTTTTTCAATATGATTAACCCTCCTTTCTTGGCATTGTGCTGCAATTACTAAATCAATACACAATTAAGACAATAAAGAGACCAAAATGTGTTCATTTATGTTGCCTAACAAAACCTATACAACAGAAAACGTTTGTCTTAACACATAGATTTGCAATTGCAAACTTTACGGAAATTATTTGTAGCCTATGTGGTCGTCCTCACGTTATCTGTCATTGACTTGGGCTACAGTGTAAAACTTTATCTAGTCTAACTAGTTTATCAGGTGACCAGTTGGCAAAAATGCTTGTTTGGTGCTGCTGAATGAGACATTTTAATGCACAACAAAATGATTTAGCTTGATCTGTATATTACCTGGCTAATGGGGCACGGGAGAAGCAGCCTGTCAGCGACCGTTCCTGCTATCTGAAGACGCTTACTGGACTGCTATGATGCTGCGCATCTGGCATGCCCTGCGGGCGACCGCGCGAGTTCACGTGACAAAGGAGGAGAGAGAGGCTGGTCGGGTGTGCGCAAGGAGGTGGCTCATTTCGGGGCATTGTTTCAGTCGTTTTTAATGGCTCAGGTTTTCAAAAGATCATTTCAAAACCGACCTCAGTAAAATCTTATTAATATTAATAATAATAATTTAAAAAAAAACGAGTTTCAAAAGGGCATTTTTGTTGATAAAGGGCAAACTTCCTAGTGCTTTAGCACCACCTAGTGTCTATGTATGCACGCCCCTGATGTGTTCAACTGTATGTGTTAAACAGCTAAATGTGTGGGAAGTTTTCTGTTTGTTTCTGTTTCCAGAGGTGAACATTGTTTAGATCTGCTCCAGGCTGCAGGAATTGTTCCGACTCATTGGATCCTTTTTTTATTCTGAGGAAAACAATTGCACTTTACACTGGCTTCTTTTTAACATGTGCTTTATTTTACAGCATATTCTTGTGTATATGCTGCCACATACAGGACAATAGATTTAAATAAGCTGTTGTGATAACTCTGTTAAATTTTTATTAATGAATGCTCCACCTTTAAAATACAGCAAAACAAAGTATTTAACAGAGCATTAAACACCATTACCTAATTCCCAGCCTGTGTCTGTCTCTTTATTCAGTGCAGCAGCAGGATTTTACCAAGCGGGTTATGAATATTTTGCTCAAAACCATTTTGCATGCACCATAAGCCCCACAGCTGTGACGTACAGCTCAGTAAGATGCAACAGGGCAGTGAACTCCACAGGAGTATAATAACATCAAGCTCAACTTCCTGCTTTCTGCACAGCCTAATTTATGTGACACTCAAGAAAAGGTGGAAGCCGGGTGTAATTCAGTTGAAGTGACCACTTAACTGTTTTGAAAGCAATAATTAACCAATTTAAGTAAAAAGAATGAATCATAACATAACTGCCAGTGAAGGAAGGAACAAATGAACGTAATAATTACTTCCAGCCGGGTCTTTTATTTCAAGGTTATGAGTCATTCAAAAGTAAATTGGCTTGAAATTCGTGTTTGCCAGCGTGCCGATTCCTTCGTTTATTTGACAGAGAGTAATACAACCGTCAGAACAATCCTGACAGAAAACAGAACAATGCCGGAAACTATGTGCAAATAATGGGAACTGGATGTTTTCCTGCAAGTGAAGTTAAAATGTTTACAACACGGTAATTTCTCCGACGAAGCACCGCTTCTTTTTTTTTCCCCTGCTGTGTGAAATGATTGGTGTTCTTGGGGAAGACTGGCCCTATTTGAGACGCTGCTTGAAGCACCATTTTCAAGCAGCCAATTTTTATCTTCTAACAGGCGCTTCTGGCCGTGTTCTCGTGGGCGCAAAGAAAGGAGACATCTGTTCAAAGTCGTGTGAGGACAAAACTGCAGTTTGACCCCATTTGAATGTTTCATTTATTATATATATATATATATATGTTTAGTAATAAAGT